TTACAGAGTCATTGCAGTATTACAACATTTATTCAAATATCTACACCAGAGTAAATCAGCGGAAGTCTTACAATAACTTAGTTTACAAAACATTTATTTCAAACCTTACAAACTAAGTTCGATTATTAATACAAACCAAAGTAGGGGAGTGGCATTATAATATATACAAAACACACAAATATCGCTGCCTCACCAAGGACCACCACATTACTTATCATCATCGCCTCAACAACAAATCATGCAAAGACGATCCAAAACAGATCGCTCCATGAGCCTCACACCGCAACAAGGGTCAATAAACCCCGAGTACGAAAGTACTCAACAAGACTTAACCAAAATAAAACCGATAAGACTCAGAATGCGTGCTCGAGGATTCAAGGTATGGCTTTAGCAATAATCAAAGTTCTTTTATGTAAAAGCACTTTAACAAAATTCTTTGTATCAATATTTAAAATCTCATAAGATCATATACAAAGTCGACACGATCCGTATTGAGATCATGAAACCTCATATCCAACACTTTCTCGAACCATTCTCAAGTTCCAGCTTATTAATACTACGATGATGAACAACAGAGAAGTGAGTCTCCATAACCGAGGAGCAACGACGATTCAATCGATTATAAACCCAAATTGGGAATTCCAGACCACACGACATATGTAGGTCCCGACCTACATATACCAACCTACCCTTGGATCCTCTAAACAAGAACGGGTCCATACCCGAGAATACAGATACTCCACACTCCAAATTTATTGCCACGTGGGTACACGCTATTCCCGCCATCTCTCCACTCCCAGTGCGCGAGTAGCCATTCTCGTAATAGAATAGCCAAGTTAAGGCTTACCGGAGTATGTGGTTAGTACTACAAAGTCTCACCTACAACAGTTCACCAACGGTACGGACCTTAATCGACACAGGGGAAAAGAACCCGCTCACAAGACATTACCAGGTCTTGTGGCTCACACACACCGAGTCCGCCTTGGTCTAGATTTATTACTCCACATTACCATATCACATGATAACATAAGTAACCAAAGTTCCATTTAAAACTCACAGGTGACAGGCAATCACCCAACTTTGATCGGTCTAAGCAGAGCTAAGCATAACTAGGCATATACGATTTTAAACGGGTAACAAGGTAGATATGGAACAACAGGGTTGATAATGCAACAATTAGGTTTCCACTTGACTTCTAATCACTTAATGCAGTATTGAAAAGCAAAAGCGAAATCAATTTGTAAAATACAAGGTAGGGTTATATGCATCCGGGCTTGCCTTCGTTGACGGAAAAAATCCGGCTCTCGCGACGTTTCACAAGTCTTCGATCCGACCTCAACAGATAGATCAACCTCCTCCGCAACTTGATTAACTACCACGTGTTCACCTTCGTTTACTACACGTAGTAACATTGCCATGCTTAACATGATGTGGAATATGAAACATGATGCTCGATGATGGATGCAAAAATTAATAAATTGGATACAATTTTTCTTCGCAGTACAGTTACAAACCAAACTAACCAAACCATATCCGTAACTGATGTGACCACGCTAGCACCGATCACTTTGGTGAACTCTCCGACCACTACGGTGAACTATCCGACCACTACGATGAACTATCCGACCACTACGATGAACTATCCGACCACTACGGTGAACTATCCGACCACTACGATGAACTATCCGACCACTACGGTGAGCTATCCGACCACTACGGTGAACTATCCGACCACTACGGTGAACTCTCCGACTACTACGGTGAACTATCCGGAGCAAAAATCATCGGTGAGGGAGAACCGGCGACTGCAGTGATCAAAATGAGTAAACAACAACTGACTAAAGACTACAGCATCGAAACGAAACCGTAAGAACACTGATTACAGTCAACGGCTCACCGAAAAGCTCTGGCCACGATGACACGCCCTAGAAGGTGAAGTTGTTGACCTCGAGGAAGAAAAAAAGCGTGACAGCGAAGTTCTCGGCAATTTCAAAGCGACCAAGGCTAGTGGGCTGGATTCGCAAGGAAAAGACGGAACTAGGGCGGCCTTTTACCGAGATGGCAACAGCGGTGGTGAAAACAAAGGAAAAAAACGACGATGACGACGTCTTGGTAATTATAGCGCGCAAAAAAGATCAAGGAAGCCACGACGGAGTCAAGCGCGGCGAAGGATCGGAAAAAGCAGAGGAAAGGAGCGGGCAAACGGCGACGGCTCGTTAAAAAGGATGGCCAGAAACTCAAAGAAGCCATGACGAAACCATTTCCCTCGCCAACATGACGCCCAGAACACGCCACCGCAGCGACTCGAAACAAGCCAAGCTCACAAGCGGTAGAAGCAAGCGGTGAACACTGTTCATCGAAATTACAAGTTTGCCATACGCCAAAATTCACAAATTACTCTCAAATTTTCATAACAACTCAAAAATCTCCAAAAACAAAAGTTGTTCAAAATTGAAAGTTCTACAACTTTGCTTCTATAACCATCTCCTAATTCTGTCTAGATTTTGAAATGGATTTTCAGGGTAGGATTTAAATGCTGAAAAGCGGGGTTTTCTCGAAAAATTCAAAATCCAAACAAACTTTGAATTTAAGTCAAACAATACAATTCAACACATACCACATGAATATAAACTTGTTTTAGTGTATGCATCTCAAAGTTTTCACCAAATGCCAAATGCTTTGCAATGCATATGATGACATGTCAGGTTTTAGTATTTTAAACACCCGAGGTGTTACAATCTCTGTTGCCTCATGTTCAGCTCGGACTGAGTGAAAAATATATTTGAGGCTCTTGTGATCCGTAAAAATATATACTTTATTTCTTAACAAATAATGTCTCCAAATTTTTAGAGCGTGCACCACAGCAGCTAGCTCTAAATCATAGGTGGGATAATTCACCTCGTGCTTTTTCAGCTGGCGTGAAGCATTAGCTATCACACATCCATCCTGCATAAGCACGCATCACAATACACATCAAATGGCTTGTAAATATCAGGTTGGGCGAGAACAGGAGCAGAGGTAAGAAAATGCTTCAGAGCTTAGAAAGCTTATTTACAAGTCAGACTTCATACAAACTTGACATCTTTCTAGAGTAACTTGGTCATTGGTTGGGCTATTTTGGAGAAATCAGAGATAAAGCTCCGATAATAACGAGTAAGAACAAGGAACTGACGGATCTGATGCACTGACTTTGGAGACTTTCAATTTAACATATCTTGCACCTTACTTGGGTCCATAGAGATACCCTCAGGTGTCAGAACATGTCCTAAAAACTGCACTCGATCTAAACAAAACTCACACTTACTGAATTTGGCTACAGCTTGTGTTCCCTTAATCGAATCAGTACTATCCAAAGATGTTGTGCTTGCTCTTCTTTGTTCTTAGAGTATATCAAAATATCAAGTTCCGTTTCTAGACTATTAGAAATACCAGCTAGTAGCATTATTTTTCTACAACAAGTATTTCATTATCATCTACAAAGTTTGCACTTCAAACTTTATTTAAGTGTCACATACATGCTCTATAATATTTTTGTTCAATAAAAATTAGTTTCAAACCCTACTTGATATTAATGAACTATCGAATCAACTTTCGTTTAGCATTTTTATTGATCATTTTGAGTTACGGAAATTAATCTATATACTTTATCATATGAATTATCACAAAAACATGATGCTCATGACATAGTTTAGCAAGTTGTTTAAGCAGTAACACCGAGGGTGTTACACAGGTAAGATTCCAATTCACGAGTAACAGGTACTATGCAAGTTTGATTTAATTTTAATACACGACAGTTACATATTTTTCTTCACCACACAACGTTTTTTTTGGTTAATTTTTTCCCCACGGTTATTGTTGTTGTTAATTTTTTTTTGGTTTAGCTAATGTATTTCTTTTATTTTTATCCATTGTAGCAATTTACTACCCTGGTCTCTAAAAGAATGCAACTATGGGTTACGTGCCAATTAAAATAATTCATGTTTGATCAAGTTTTTAGTAAATAATATTCACATTTATGACTCCAAATCAATTTATTATGAAAATACATTTCATAATTAATCTAATGATATTTATTTCATATTATAAATATCTATATTTTTTATCTATAATTGGTCAAACTTGATATACTAAAACGCGACACTATTTCAGAATTACATTCTTTTAGGGGCGGAGAAAGTATATAATATGCCAACAAGAATAAATAATATTTTTTTGAAAGTTTTTTTTTGTTCATTTATGAGATCTGTACTGATGTCAGTAAAGTAGCGTTGCTGAGGTCAGCAAAGCCTCCTCGTCTGCAATCTGGAGGGATCAAATCAAACGCCAAAAGCCCAAAACCCTCAGCAGTTGCAATTTCGTGTGCCCAGGAAAACGCGAGGCCTACTCAATTCTAACATCGAATTCGAGTCGGAGTCGTTAGCGCGTAGTTGCGATAAAGTGATGCCACCACCCACCGCCATCGCAGCTGTCGGATCACGATCCCCTTCCCTCTTCTTTAATATAAGTTCATTGGCTTCTCCTCTCCAATTGTCTTTCGATCCCGCGTCCGAGTTCAGATTCACTCTCTCCCTGCTCTCCGCGCGTCCGAGTTCAGATTCGCTCTCTCCCTGCTCTCCGCTCGTGTTTCCATCCCGTTTCTATGTGCCCAGATTGCACTCATCTTTTTCTTCCTCAATCTAGAGTTTAGCATGTCTACGGGCGGCAGTGGCGCCGACGGCCCGCAAGAGTCCAGCAGCGGACCAAGATCCGCACACCGCTGACGCGAAAAAGCGACCGCAGTACAAAGGTTTTAGGCTGCCGCTGCCCCGCAAGAGTCCGACAGCGGACCAAGAACCGTGCACCGCTACGCAAAAAAGCGACCGCGGTACAAAGGTTTCAGGAGCATCGAAGGAGAGGGCATCGTGAGCAGGGCGCGCGACCGCTGCAGCTGAGGTCGCGCTGAAGTGGATAAGCGGCGATGGGCCCGATGGCCATGGCCCGCAAACTGCCGCTCGCTCGCCATGGAGGCCGGCTGCCTCCGCGCGTGCCGCAGCCACCCGTCGATCATCGTCATCGATGGTGTCGCCGCCGACCCCAAGACCAAAGACGTGCATCTCGTCTTGGGGTTGATCCAGGGTGGGCTAAGCCTTCGTGACTCCGACTACATGTGGAGGACGCCGTCGGAGGACACGGTCCGCGAGATGATGAGGCAGCTTATCGGCGCTGCGAAAGGTACATGGTCATGGCTTTATCCATAGAGATATCAAATATGAGAATATCCTTGTCTACCCTCTGGGTGAGCTTAAAGTGTGCGACTTTGGGTCGGTGACGCGGAAGAAGCTGTTAGCACTGGCTCTACTTCATCGCCAAGGGACAAGCCTAACAAAGACCGTCACCACCACGACAGGACAGCCAAGAGGAAGAGGCTAGTGATGGGCCACGTCGTGGCGCACGGGACCGCAAGCCCAGAAAGAAGGTGCACGGGCCAGAATGGGCGTAACAACATCAGCGGGCAAGGATGTCGTAGGCTACTAGTATAAGTAGTAGTAGAGAAGGGGAAGGGGATTTTATAAAAAAAACATTAAGAACAACTTGTAAACAAGCACTCCTATGCTATTCGATTCAGAACTCAACCTTCCCCAATTCTGTGCTTGTTCTTACTCCGATTCTGATCTGATTGATTCCAATCCACTACTCCTACCACTCTGCTTACATCTGGTATCAGCTTTCCTTCGGTCCTCTCCGCTATTCTCTGATTTCCCTTGATTTGTCGATTGCTCGCATACGCCATTGCTTGTTGAGATCGATTCGGCCACCTTGAATCCGATCTCCGTAATTCCCCGGCTCGCGAGCGGTTGTAGGAATGAGATGGCGGACTAGAGGGGAGTGAATAGTCCTTTCTAAAATTAAATGTGTCGGCTAACCGAGATAAATGCAAAATTAAAACTAACGATCTAGCCAAGATCACAACATCACTCAAGCATGGCTAAGATCATATTTTGCTCAGATTTTGCAATATAGGACATATTTCAATTACTTGAGCTATTCTTCTTCAAATTGAACCAAACTTTAAATAGACTTGTTTGAATACTTTCACAAGACATATATCCATTCAATCCGCTTACTAAATATTATCTTATGAACTTATCCATTCAAACAAACTCAAATTTGATTACTAATCATTAGATCCATTCAACCACCTCATAGTAAGCAACATTGCATATTTATTCAATTCAATCAACTCATATGCACCCAAATGAATGATCAACAAGAGATATACTTTGGTTAGCTCATAATTATCCATAGCATGCTTCCACTCAATTATTTGTAAGCCATCAATTATATTCAATAAATCATCCATAATTTGAATATGACACTTATATGTTGTGGCACTTAGACTTCACTATTTTGTCATGGCATTGGGATAATGATCATCACTTGTCAATGCTTGGCTCAATCACATGATCAACACAATGAATACCACTTGAACGAAGCCTCCAATGCCCATGGTACCTACAAACAATCATCCACTTTTCGATGGTACCCAAACTAGTTTGAATCCTCTCAAGTTAGGAGCAACATACTTAGGCAATGCCTTGGTATGAGTAGCGGGATGTTTTGCAATTGCAACCAATGAGGTACCATTGCCATCCTTCCTAAGCATATTATTATCAACAATTGAAATAGGCTTAGAGATACTACCTAGGGGACATGAATATGCCATGTGTCCCCTTTTTCGGCATGAGTAGCACTTTCTCTTTAATTGAGCCTTCTCTTCCTTGCTCATGTGGTGCTTCTCATTGCCTTGCTTCTTCTTATTTACTTGATCCTTCTTCTCAAGCTTGTTTGGACAACCCGAAGCTAGGTGGCCCAATATGTCACAACTATGGCACTTGATGTGAGCAATCATCTTCATCTTTTCTTCTTTGTTCTTGCTCACTTTCTTTGCGTCTTGATTCATCCTTGGACGCATTGCTCTTTCTCCTGCTTTTCCACCCCTTCTTGTTTTCTTCCTCTTCATCATCAAATCACCACCATCTTCAAGGTTGATCTTGATTTGAACTTGGGACTTCTCTTCTTGCTCAACTTGTGGCTTTGATTAAGGCTTTTCTTGTTGCTTCACCACTTGCTTGGTTGGGCACATAGAGGTGAGATGACCCCATGTGCGGCACTTGAAGCACTTGACATACTTTAGCCTCTCTTCTTCTTTCTTCAACTTGAGCTTTTCTCCATTGAGGCAACCATTTGCAAGATGTCCCACTTCATGGCATTTGAAGCACATGAAATGAGATAGCTTCATTTGTTCTTGCTTCTTCATCTCTCTTTCATATCTTCTCTTGCCCCATCTCTTGCCTTTAATCTTTCTCTTGTTGAAGGCAATGCCACTCATGTCATTGTGGCTTTCTCGATGATTGACTTGGCTAGTCTTGAAGCTGACACCACTCTTATCACCAAAGTTTCTTTGAGTTTTCAATATATGCTCAAAGGTGACTTGAGATTTGTAGCACCTCTCTAGCTTGTTGCTCAAATTCTTTACTTCACTTTTGAGCTCATTGTTCTCCTTCAAAAGGTTAGTCTCACAAGACAAGAAAGTAGAACAAGCATCTATATATGAAGAATATGGCATAGCTAATAATTCATCACAAGAGGTGGATACATTCTTCTTGCCTACATCACAAGGGTTAGCAACATTATGTGATTGATCAATTGACCCATGTGATGAGCTCTCAATGGTTTTAATTTTTCCATTGGAAAGCTCCTTAGTGAGAAAAGCATGGTCTTGTATCAAATTATCATGAGCAACACTAAGTTCCTCATGAGCCAATTTTAGCTCCTCATGTGAACAAGTCGTGACATAAAGTAGATGCTTTTGTTGTTCACATGTGGTCTTTAGAAAAGAGTTTTTATTTTTTAATTTCTCGGTTTTAGCCATCTCTTTTTCTAAAGCCTTGATCATCCTACCAAATTTATCTAGAAGCTCTTCATATGAATCAAGATCAATCATATTTGCATTAGATACCTTGGTGTCACCTTGTGACATGAAGCAATGTGATGTAGTGGATGAGCTTGTAGAGACATCACTCTCATATCCATTATCATCATCATCAACAAGTGTGCATGGAGTAGCATCATCATTTGCATCACTTGTGGCATCATCATCAATCTTGTCAAGTGATCTTGTGATAAATCATCATCACTTGACCATAAGGTGGAGCAATCTTCCACAATCACCGAATTGTGGCTATGCTCAACATCCTCATGTGCCTCCTTCTTGGGCTCATCATCATCATCGAAGACTGTCCCATACTTCTCATTGAGATAAATCCAAATTTCATGGGCGGTCTTCATGTTTATGATCTCACCAAATATGCAATCATCCAAAGATCTATACATGATGTTAGTAGCTTGGATATCGAGATCTAGGCATTTCTCTTGTGCTTGAGTTAGATTATTTTTATCCAACACATGAGAAAAGCCTACATCTACCATCCACCACATTTGAGGATAAATAAACTTAAAATTGCATATCATCTAATTTTTCCATTGTGTAAAGTGTGTGCCATAAAAAATATGTGGACACTCAACATATAGCCCATAAGTCACCATCCTCTCGGGTCGGTGAATACCACAAATGAGAGACCTAGCTCTGATACCACTTGTAGGGTCGAGATGACGAACTAGAGGGGAGGTGAATAGTCCTTTCTAAAATTAAATGCGTCGGCTAACCAAGATATATGTAAATTTAAAACTAACGGTCTAGGCAAGACTATACCCCTCTATCTAAGTTCACAAGCACCTTATAAAGATCATAATTATGCAACAAAGGTGCCGGGCTAGCTAGAGCTCACCAAATTAATTCTAGAGCAAGGCCACACAAACCTATGCACTACTACTTTGCACAACCGGGGGAGCTCCTACACAATCTAGTAAGCAAAAGCACAAAGCTCCTAAGCTCACTAGCAATGCTCAATAACAAGGCAACTAATGTCAAATTAGAGAGCGTAAATTACTTAGCCACACAAACTAAGCAATATGACTAACAAGGTTACTCAAACCAAATTTGTCACGCAAAGGAGCTACTTCTATGCTATACAAGCAAGAAGGTAACTAGGAAGCTACACAAGCTAACTAATTATAAGAGCAACTACACAAGCACAATGTAAATGAAGCAAATACAAGCTTGTGTAACAAGGATGCAAACCAACGGGAAGATAAGGATGACACGGTGATTTTTATCCTGAGGTTCACGTGCTTGCCAACACGCTAGTCCCCATTGAGACAAGCTCCAAGGTTGCCGCCGGTCCTCTTGCTAGTGGTGACCCGCAAGTCACACTCTCCCACGTGGAGTGCTTACCACAAGCTCTAGCACTTGACCCTGCCATACCACTTGTCGCCCTTCGTGTCTCGCTCTACTAGAGTTGATCTTCGCAGCTCCCACGAGGTGAGCATAATCCCCCTCACAATCACTTCTTCGGAGCACCACACAATCTTCTTTGCGTGCTTCGATGGAGACCACCACCAAGCCATCTAGGAGGTGGCAACCTCCAAGAGTAACAAGCATCATCGGCTTGCAACTTGATCACCTAGTGCTACTCGATGCAATCTCACAATGCAACGCACTAGAATCACACTCACTCGCAATTGATTTGCACTCTTGCAAGCACAAGTGAGTTAGAGGGCATCTAAGCACTCCTACACAAAGCCACAAAGGCGTGAGGGTGCTCAGCAAATTGTCCAAGGCCTGCCACCACTTCTATTTATAGCCCTAAGGGCTAAAAGAGTCGTTGCCCCTTCACTGGGCAAAACACGCACTGACTGGACTCGCAGGTCATAACGACCGAACGCGCAGGTCACAGAGTGTGGTCGCTAGGATGACACCATGTGTCCCCTCCTTTTGAAGCCAACCGTTGGGCTCCAACGGCTAGCTCCCACGCGCGCATACTCCTGATCGGACGCACCTAGGTCCAATGACCGGACGTGCCGAGGCCAAGTCCGGTTACCAATGCATCTCTACACAACTGACCAGACTCACCTTTCTCCTATGACCAGACTCGACTCTCCCAGAGTCCGGTCACTTTGAGAGAGGATTCAGAGAGCCCTTTTGATGACCAGACACGTCAGGTCATCACTGACGGACTCTCCATGCATCCGGTCGCTCCTGGACACGTTAAAAACACTGACCGGACTCTGACCGGACTCGCAGGTGCTAACCGGACGCGCAGGTCGCAGAGTCCGGTCACAGACCTTTCAACACTAAAACGGCTATAACTCTTAGCTCCGAACTCCGATTTCGATGATCTTGGACATTTTGGAAAGGTTATTCAAAGGGCTACACAACCCACTTGCATATTTGATCCAAAGCATCAATGGATCAATGCAAAATTCCAAATCAAGAGCCATCCTATAGTTTAAGTACACCAAAAAAACCTCTCTTCTCCAAGTTGATCCAATTCAACTCCAACAACATCTCCTTTACAAATGTGCCAACACCACCAAGTGTATGCCACTAAGTGCAAGTGTGTTAGCATTTTCACAAATATTTTTCAAAGGATTAGTCACTCAATTCACCACGCCACTCGATCCTAGCAACGTCGTAAAGTTAGATCGCTCAAGTTGCACTAGATGACCGATATGCAAACAAGTTTGCCTCTCTTGATAGTATGACCATTTATCCTAAACCCGGTCATCAACTTCTCTACGCCCTATGATCGGTGAAATAAAATGCCCTAGGTTATATCTTTGCCTTGCGCATTCCATTCAATCTCCTCTATTGTCGATGCACTTCATATCATCACGTGACCGTATTGGTTCATCGATCTTGATTTCACTTGCTCTTCACCGTTGCTTCGGTCCATCGGTGCCAAGTCATCACTCAACTTGCCCTTCACACTTGCAACCGGTCCATTGAGCCAAGTCTTGTCTTGATCTTCTCCACCTTGATCGCATGACTCCAAGTCATGTCTCATATGCAATGAGCTCCTTCATCACATGTGTGAGCTTTGCAACATCTCTAAGCCATTTCACCTCCATGGCAAAGGTTGCTCACACATGATGTACCTATGGACTAATCACCTGTGTATCTCACATTAAACACAATTAGTTCACCTAGGTTGCCACTCAGTTACTAAAACCAAACAAGGACCTTTCAGCGGTCCGAATCAAGTTTCCGGCACTGGATCGCCAGCCTCCCCCACCGCCACCGCCACCGCTGCCGCACCCGCACTACACTCGGTTTGCTCGCAGCCGTGGCGCCATGAACCCCGACTCCAAGCTTCTGCTCGACGAGATGCATCGCCTTTTCGCCGAGCAGAAATCCCAGATCGAGAGCCGTTTTGTCGAGTCGGATTGGAGGCTGGACTCCTGATTCGACGACAGTGGCCTCCTCCTGGAGAAGCAATTCGAGAAGATCGATGAGTCCCTCAACCAGCGCTTCGCCGAGGTCGACGATTCCCTCAACAAGCGTCTGGCCGAGGTCGACAATTCCCTCACCAAGCGCCTCGCCGAGGTCGACGACTCCCTCACCAAGCGCCTCGCCGACTCCGACCTCGCCTTCGAGCGCCGCATCACCGACTCCGAACTTCGTCAGAACACCCTCATCACTGAAGTGGAGCAGTGCTAGGATAACCGCGTCAACAAAATCGTGAAGACCGCTGGTGACCTCGAGAGCTGGCGCCAGGAGTCTAAGGCTGCTTCGATGATCTCAAGCTAAAGGTGGACAAACTCACCAAATACTAGGATCGAACATTCATCGACAACGCTTCGGCGTCGATAGGATTGATCTCCCAGCCACCTCTGCAGTTGGAGCAGGCCCCTGCGTGTACATCTGCGGGAAACACGGCTGCTTGGCCTAGCGGGCACCACGTCGAATCGACTACACGGGTGGATGGTATGGGGGGAAATTTTTCCCTAGACCATTCCCCGGCCAATGGTACGCTAACAGAGCCCAATCCTCCTGTTATTCAGTTTCATGGTGTTGCTTACGATGTGCATTCCCGCGGCCAACCCATTCATTCCACTCAAACCAATCTGGGTAAACTACCTAAGCAAAAATTTCCTACCTATGAGGGTGAATGTACACGTCTGTGGATTTCTCAGGCTGAGGACTACTTCGACATGTACGAAGTCCATCCTCGCCTTTGGGTTAAGGTCTCTCGCATGAATTTTCGTGGAGCTGCTGCTCGCTGGATTGAGTCCATTTCTCAGCCAGACGGCATTCCTTGGCCTGATTTCTATAAATAGCTCCACGATCGTTTTGGCCGTGACCAGCGTGACAAACTGGTCCGTCAGATGTTTCATATTGGCCAAACCACTACTGTCACCGACTATGTCGAACGATATTCTACTATTTTTGATCAGCTCAAAGCGTATCAGCCTAACCCAGACATCCACTACTACACCACTAGATTTGTCGATGGGCTGCGGGATGACATTCGTATGGTTGTTACTTTGCAACGTCCTACCAGCTTGGATACTGCGTATTCCTTGGCATTGTTGCAGGAGGAAGTGGTTGAGTCGGTGCGCAAGCATGAATTTCCCAGGACGGGTTTCAAGGTCCATCCCAAGCTGGCGTTGATGCCACCGCGCCCCCAAGGCACTGACAAGACTGCAGATGACAAAGTTCCTGGGAAGCCACCTGAAAACAAGTTCTCTGCACTACGGAATTACCGTCGTGCCAGAGGTCTTTGTGACATTTGTGCTGAAAAGTGGGTACGTGGTCACAAATGTGCTAACACAATTCCCTTACATGCTATGCAAGAAATTTGGGATTTGTTTTGCCTGGGAAAACTTCTGATTCTGCAGAAGACACACCTGAACAATTACTACTGGCTCTGTCGCATGATGCCAAGATGGGATCAAATGGTCATCGTACAATCAGATTCCATGGTAATATTCAAGGACTGCCCATTGTTGCTTTGGTTGATTCGGGCAGCTCAGCTTCTTTTTTGGCATCCTCACTGGCTGATCAGTTGCCACAGTTACAGCGTACTCCATTGAAGGCTTCTGTCAAAATAGCTAATGGTCAAATTCTGCAGTGCACCTCGGGTATCTTGCAGTGTCAGTTCTCTCTGGAAGGCCATCAGTTTCAGCATGACTTGAGAATTCTTCAGTTGGATTCATATGATTTAATACTTGGGATGGATTGGCTTGAATTGTATAGTCCCATGCAAATTCACTGGAAAGCTAAGTGGTTATCCTTGTCCTACAATGGTGATCCTGTGTTATTACAAGGCATTTCATCGGATACTGCTCCTGAAATGGTGTTTCAGTTGCTTTCTGTTGAGGTTCAATCTTCTGCAGCACTGTCAGTTCCAATTCCAGCTGATATACAGAGCATTTTGGACACTTTTCCTGCTGTGGTCACCATTCTGGATAGTCTGCCACCGAAGCGAGCTTGTGATCACGCTATCCCTCTTGTCAGTGGTGCTACACCTGTTAACATACGAGCATATCGTTATCCTCCAAAATTGAAGGATGAAATTGAAAGTCAAGTGCAGCAGATGTTGTCCCAAGGATTAATTCAACATAGTTCATCTCCATACTCTTCTCCGGTTCTGTTAGTCAGCGAGAAAGATGGTACTCGGCGATTCTGTGTTGATTACCGCTACCTGAATGCACTTACAGTCAAATCTGTTTATCCGATACCGGTGTTTGATCAGCTGGTGGACGAGCTCGGGCAAGCTTCTTGGTTTTCCATTCTGGATCTCTATTCCGGCTACCACCAGATCAGATTGCAGCCCGGTGAGGAGCATAAACTGCATTTTCAACACATGCTGGCCATTATGAGTTCACAGTAGTTCCTTTTGGACTCTCTCGGGCTCCGGGAACATTTCAAGGCGCCATGAATGTCACACTAGCACCACTGCTGCGGAAGTGTGTTATAGTCTTTTTCGATGACATTTTGATTTATAGCAATTCTTATGAGGAATATTTGCAACACCTACAGCAGGTTCTGTCTCTTCTCGCCAAGGACCAGTGGGTTGTCAAACTTAAGAAATGCCAGTTTGCTCAACAGGAAATCCATTACCTGGGACATGTGCTAAGTGGCCGTGGGGTTCATACTGATCCGGCCAAGGTGGCAGCAGTGTTGCATTGGCCACTACCAACCACTGTCCGTGAGCTTCGCGGGTTCCTGGGATTAGCAGGTTTGTACAGGAAGTTTGTGCGTAACTTCGCAGTAATTGCAAAACCACTTACCAACCTGCTAAAGAAACACACCTTGTTTGTGTGGACAGCTGATCATCAAAGGGCTTTTGATGCTCTGAAACAAGCCCTGTGTTCTGCTCCTGTTCTCGGTATCCCGGATTTCACCAAGGTGTTTGCAATAGAGACTGATGCTTGTCAGACGGGAGTGGGTGCTGTTCTCCTTCAACACGGTCATCCACTCGCCTATGTCAGCAAACCGTTGGGTACCAAAAATCAGGGGTTGTCAACTTACGAAAAGGAATATTTAGCCATTTTAGTGGCAGTGGACCAGTGGCGATCCTATCTCCAGCTCGCTGAATTTATCATTTATACTGATCAGAAAGCTCTCATTCATCTTAATGATCAGCGCCTCCATACAGTTTGGCAACAAAAAGTATTTACAAAACTTCTGGGATTGCAATACCGAATTGTGTATAAGAAGGGGTGTGATAACAGCGTTGCTGATGCCCTTTCCCGGCGCCAACACCCAGAAGAAACATGCTGTGCCATTTCTGTGGTGACACCCCAACGGTGTGATGATATTATGGCTGGATATCATTCTGACCCGCACTCTACTACGCTGCTAGCTAAGCTCGCTGCCAGTCCAGATACTGTCCCAAATTACTCCTTGGATAATGGTCTGTTGAAATACAAGCGTCGTATATGGGTGGGTAACAACAGGCCTTTGCAACAACAGTTGATTCAAGCTCTGCACTGCTCACCAGTGGGTGGACATTCGGGCATTCCTGCCACTCTCAAACGCATTCAGTCCTTGTTTGCCTGGCCGGGTCTCAAGAAGCAGGTGACAGAATTTATCAGGAGCTGTCCTACTTGTCAGCAAGCTAAGCCAGAACGCGTCAAGTACCCAGGTCTGTTACAGCCACTGGCCACTCCTACTGCTGCTTGGCAAACTATTTCCCTGGATTTTGTTGAAGGTCTACCGACTTCCCATGGATTTAACTGCATTCTAGTCGTGGTTGACTTGTTCTCAAAGTACAGTCATTTCATTGCTATGAGGCACCCTTTTACAGCACTGACAGTGGCCAAGACATTTATGCAACACATATACCGTCTTCATGGTCTTCCATCTGTACTTGTGTCGGACTGTGACCGGATTTTTACTGGCCAACTGTGGCGAGAGTTGTTTCGGCTAGCAAGAGTGAAACTTCGTCTGAGCTCGGCTTACCATCCACAATCTGATGGTCAGACCGAACGTGTGAACCAATGCATGGAGACATTCCTCAGATGTTTTGCCAATGCTACTCCTCAGAAATGGTTCGACTGGCTACACCTTGCTGAATTTTGGTACAACACGACTTGGCATTCAGCTATCAACCGTTCACCGTTTCAGGCCTTATATGGACAGTCACCTAAACAACTGGGAATTGATTCTTCTTCGACTTGCTCTGTTGATAATCTAGATGACTGGCTACAACAGAAGTCGACTATGCAGTCACTGATCCACCACCAGCTCAGTCGAGCCAAGAACCGAATGAAGAGTGAGGCAGACAAAAAACACACAGAACGATCATTCAGTGTTGGTACCTGGGTTTACATTAAGCTTCAGCCCTACATCCAAACTTCTGTCGCTGCTCGCTCCCATCAGAAGTTGGCTTATCGCTTCTTTGGGCCCAATTTGATCGCTGAGAAGATTGGGTCGGTGGCGTATAAGCTCAAGTTGCCAGAGTCTTCGTCTGTTCATCCCGTGTTCCATGTCTCCCAATTGAAGCTAGCAGTTCCGGTAACTCATACTGCTCAGGAATTACCTGCTTCTCTTGATGGTCTACGGGCTCCTCAACGGGTCATTCAGAAACGGGTATCCCAAGTTGGCACTGCTGTGCTCCTTCAAGGTCTCGTCCAGTGGTCCGGCATGCCGACGTCCTTGGCAACCTGGGAGGACATGGAACATCTTCGTCAACGCTTTCCTCGAGCACCAGCTTGGGGCAAGCTGGACCTTATCGGGGAGGGGATGTCAGCACCGGCTCTACTTCATCGCCAAGGGACAAGCCTGACGAAGACCGTCACCACGACGACAGGACAGCCAAGAGGAAGAGGCTGGTGATGGGCCGCGTCGTGGCGCACGGGACCGCAAGCCCAGTAAGAAGGTGCACGGGCCAGAATGGGCGTAACAACATCAGCTGGCAAGGATGCCGTAGGCTACTAGTATAAGTAGCAGTAGAGAAGGGGAAGGGGATTTTGTCAAAAACATTATGAACAACTTGTAAACAAGCACTCCTATGCTATTCGATTCAGAACTCAACCTTCCTAACTCTGTGCTTGTTCTTACTCCGATTCTGATCTGATTGATTCCAATCCACTGCTCCTACCACTCTGCTTACAGAAGCCCGATGGGAAGCCGCATCAGGCCTGCCCCGTCGGGACGCTGCAGTACAACGCGCCGGAGCTGCTCGACGGCAATTGGTACTACGGCCCGGCTATCGACATGTGGGGGCTCGGGTGCGTTATGGCGGAGCTTCTCAGTGGTGAGAGACTGTTCCAGGCAGAGAGCGAGTACGAGATGACTGCCGAAATGTCCGAGTTGCGAGACAGGATGACCTCTGCTGCGGGAAAGCTCGAGCCGGAGTGCTTGAAAGATCTGTCGGAGGATGGGCGTGATGTGCTCACAGGCCTGCTGGCCTTCTGCCCGGAAAAGAGGCTGACCGCGGCGGAAGCGCTTGAGCACCGGTGGTTCAACAACTTCAAGGCAGCCTTGGATTGACGATTTTGCTTAGTTTTTAGATGGCTAGTAGCTGATTCTTTATCTTTTATGACAGTATTAAACAAAATTAAGTACATCTGCTGTTTGAGTTACAGGTCTGAATCATCTACATGGTGTTGTGTCTCCTTTTGATCCACAGGGATGGCGAGTATGATTTTCAATAGGCATGGGTCACGGAGAAGCAGATGTGATGTGATTGAGCCTCGTCCTGTTTGCTACTAGTTACTACAGAGCTGGAGCTAATGTCATAGTGTGCTTTGACTGATGGGAAGCGTCGTGGCACTCTCGCTGCCCCAGTCAAGCAAACAGGTATACATGTTACTTCTGCTAGTTAGGCCATGTTAAGATCAGAATACTACATACACATCACAGCTTAATTTACATCATGAGCCAGGTTCAACATCTCTAGAATCTGAAAAATCATAATACTTAGCACACGTTTTTGTTGGTTCACTTCCTACCTTTCTTAAGAGTCATTCTTTTACCAGGTATCCTAAACTAAAAAGCAATCGCAAATTCCTAATACATCTTTTTTATTTTGTTGGCTAGAGAAAAGATGGCTTACTGGAAGCAGCGAGGCAAAATAAAAGCAATTAAAGAAGGTGATGCTAGTATAAAATTATTCCATGCTCTGATGCTCATGCCTTGATCAAGTATATAGGTCCAGTCAGATCAAAGAAATTGAGGTGGACTGTGCAGTTGTCAGTGATCATGCTGCTAAGACCCAAGCTTTCACCTCCTTCTACACTGAGCTGCTTGGTGCAGTAGTGGATACAAGATGGGATTTCAGTTTACAGGAAGTCTGTGGTGATCAAGCCCCTGTTGATGACTCCACCCTGTCAGCTCCCATCACAATCCAGGAGGCCAAATCTGTGTTGCGTGGCATGGGCAGGAATAGCGCTTGACGGGTTTTGTGCTTCCTTCTATACTGCTGCTTGGGACTTTATCTAGCCAGAATTGGAACAACTTCTGTGTGCCTTCAAGTCTTCAACAACAATGAGGCAGAAATGGAGAGGATAAATAGAGCCTACATTGTCCTGCTGCCCAAAAAGCCAGGTGTGATCTCACCTGCAAAATTTCTCTGTGAAGCTCATCTCGAAGGTCCTCACAAGTAGGTTACAAAATCAAATTCAAAGTCTGGTAGCTCTTGACCAAACTGGATTTATAAAAGGGAGATCGATCTCTTAAAATTTCATCCTTGCCACGGAACTGGTTCAGTGCTGCTATAAGAGGAAAATTCCTAGCTTGGTAATTAAACTAGATTTTGCGAAGGCTTATGACTCAGTGAACTGGCAGAGCCTCATGGCGATTATGGAGTGTTGAGGGTTCTAAAAAAAATGGTGTTTGTGGATCAGGTCGCTTCTCAGGACGTCCATGTCAGCAGTATTAGTAAACGGAGTGCCAGGACCCAAACGAGGGCTGCGATAGGGGGACCCCATTTCCCCATACCTGTTCTTGCTTGTGGCTGATGTGCTTCAGGCTCTGATCAATCACGACGGCTCTATCTCCCACCCTCTTGCACCGGATAGGAACTGCCCCATTCTTCAATATACGGATGACACACTGCTACTTATCCCTGCTGAGCTAGGTGCAGTTCAGACACTCAAATCCCTCCTGGACCAATTCTCAGCTGCTACAGCCCTGATGAAGATCAACTACCACAAAAGCACCTTGGTGGCACAGTTCTGAAGCAGAGTGCAGCCAGTTCAAAGCAGTTCTGCAGTGCAAAGTTGACAGTTTCCCTCAGGTGTACCTGGGGCTCGCCCTCTCTGATGTCAAGCTCAATTTGTCAGCATTTACTCCATTGATTGCAAGAGCAGATAAATAGCTCGCGGGATGGGAAGCGATGTTCCTGAACCCCAAAGGAAGACAAGTTCTTGTGAACTCAGTTGTGGACAGTGCCATCTCTTACCTCATGGCTGCTATCCTTCTTCCTGCAGAAACTATTGAATCCTTAGACCAGAAAAGAAGAACCTTTATTTGGTCAGGGAAGGGCCGCACCAATGGGGCTAGATGCCTAGTTGCATGGAATCAGGTGTGCATGCCGAAAGAAAAAGGGGGGCTCGGAGTGAAGGACGTTGCCGTTCAAAACCAATGCTTGGTGCTGAAACTTCTCCATAGGCTGCATCACCCCGCCAACTCGGCTTGGGCTCAGTGGGCACGTGAAGAAGTGGATTTGAGCATTTTGAAAGGTAAAAATGCTGTTGGTCCTCATTGGGAGGCGCTGCGCTCGCTTCTTCCACTGTACCAGAGTATCACCTTTGTAGACGTTGGCGATGGCCGAGCAACAGACTTTTGGAATGACTGCTGGACAGGGAAGGTGCCGCTACCTGCTTGCTTCTCTAACCTCTTCAGTCATGCAAAGGTTAAAGAAATTCAGCTTCTTTTGGAACGTAATGAAAAAAAAAAGAAATTCAGCTTCAAAAAGTGGTAGATAATGGAATTCATGAATTCTTGGTACCACGCCTTTCGAGAATGTCTGCAGGAGAGTTGGAACAGGTGTTAGGTATTATCACTGAGATAGTGCTTGAAGACAGGCCGGATAACCGTATCTGCCCATTTGCCGCTGCTGATGGTGTGCTTCAGGCTGGACCTGTATATAAAGCTATCAAAACACATGGCATCAGCCAGAGCCTTCTCTTGCTAGCTTGGTCCAATTGTGCCCCCCCTCGGGTCCAGTTCTTTGCATGGCTTTTGATCCAAAAAAGAATCCAGTGCCGAGCAAACCTGAAGAAGAAATCAATTGTAGAAGATGACAACTGCGAGCTGTGCAAGCAAGCATTAGAAAGTGCTGATCACTTGATATTTAGGTGTCCCTTTGCTGACAATGTCTGGACAAAAAAGGGTTTTTCAGTGGACGACGCCTTGGTAGGACTACTATGGGATGTGAGAAGACCAGAATCTATTCCTGCCAAACAGTATCATGTGTTTTTGCTGCTGCTGTCCTGGAAGATCTGGAAGCATAGAAATGACGTGGTTTTTCAACATATGGAGCCATCCTTTGCTCGCCTTGGTGCGGCCTTGAAAGAAGCTGCTGCCCTGTGGCAATTTCGCTTTCCTAGTGGCGATAGATATGTAGTCACATATTGGTGTAACGCCTTCGTTTCCATTCTGGCTTGAATCTGTTGAATATGTAATTCCTCCATGTAAAACCTCCTATCATGTTTGAACAGCAAGTGCTTTGCTGTTCCAGAGCAATATAGCAGGTGGGGAATACTCTTTCCCCTCCGCTTTCATAAAAAAAAGAAAGAAAACAGTCGCAGAACAATAATGCTGCCCTTGGTGAGCCTCTTCAGTCTTCAGATTGAGAGGGGGGCCAAGTAGATTGTTTCATCAGGTTGGTTCCTCAAGGTTTGTCCCTTAGGCGCCCGCTGAAAAAAAAACTGAAAGCAGAGGATGATATTGTTCTTGCACATTTCAGCCCCGTTCGCTGGTCTGAAACTGGCTGAAAAACACTGTTCCGGCTGAAAAAACACTGTTTGCCTTGTTGGGATGGTGTTGCTTATGTTTGCGTAAGTACTGGTAAATTCTAGGGGAGTGGGAGCTTTGAAGATGATGCTTATGTTACTCAAATTAGCTTTTAGGTTTGTTGAAACTCCACTATGATCAACTTTGTCGCTCATGCTTGCCGAGTTGATGTTATTCTTTTCTAGGATTACTTGATTGATGTTATTGATGGGGTGCTGGGCATTTCGATATCACAACAGTATCAGATGGACTATGCCCCTTGTATCAGACTATTATCTTATTTACTTAATGATAATTATTTTTGGCCTTGTCGTCATGCTATAAATTTCGCGTGGAACTTGTGCCTGGTTTCATAGCTAGATACTTCTCTTCTGTCTCTGGAAATCGAATTGCTTGCTAGCAGTTGACATACTCGTGGCAACGAAAAAAATACTTGTGGGAACGATGATTTTAGCAGACTGAATTCAAGTTTGTAGACCTGCACACCTTGAACAAGTAGCCAATGTGTTGGCATAGCCCTGACTGAATTCAGTCATGTGAAGGCTGAAGCCACAAGGCCTCTGAAATCAGATGGTGAAGGAGTCACTCCACATCTCACATATACTGCACTGGATATATGTGTTCCATTTGGATTCGAATATGTCGTTGGAAAAACTTCCGTACCCGGGAACTGCTCCAGGAAGACACAGCCAACTAGACGCCGCATGCCTGGTTTCAATTTGTCCTATAACACCATTGTCGTTGTCGGGTATCAGGGATACCCGGAACAAGGAAGCTAACGGCCGCGAACGCTAACTCTCTCGGATAGTCAAGAGCGTATCTTGGTCTCGCCCGGCCCCGAGGGCACGGGCTCCGTCTCACCCGACCTCAAAGACGCGGGATCCAGGTCACCCGACCCCTTGGGCGAGAGCCCCATCACGTCCGACCCCGAGGGCAAGGACTCCGTCTTGCCCAATCCCGAGAGCGCGGGCTCCGCCTCGTCCGACCCCGAGGGCGCGGGCTTCGCCGCGCCCAACTCCGAGGGCGCGGGCTCCGTGCGGGCTTCGCCTCGCCCGACAGAGGTCCGTACCGTCCCCAACCACTACGGATTTAAAAGTACGAGTCCAGGGTCAAACTTCTGACGCCGGAAGGGGAGCAGGCGCGTCTAGACGTGACCCGCGGCCACTACGGGCCACGTCTGAGGACGCACGTCGCCAACAGCATCGGGCGTGCCGGCGCTATACTACCTACTTCCCATACGGCCTCCAGCGGAGGCGTCAGCGAGCCATACCGTCCGCTGGGACGGGATGGAGCGCCACGACCGGCTGACGACGCCCGCGTACGGCGCCAGTGACGAACAGGGCCACGACATGGAGCCATCCCCGTTGTCATCTATAGGGCCGGCGGGACCCGCGTAAAGGAGATGGAAGACGTCGCAATCCCAGAAGCCTTCCTCTCCTCGTCTCTCTCTCTCTCTCTCTAATGTAAGCCGCATCTTCCCCTTCATCTATAAGAGGGGAAGCAGGGCGCCCCATGGGGAGGGGGAGGGGACGGCATTCCCACACATCTAACACGTCTGAGCGGCTGAAGGCTTAGGCGCTCGACAGTAGAGAGAGAGCACAACCAGACTCACTCTTTTCACCAGAGAGTTGGGACCTTCTCCCTCTCTCGCCTGTTTGTAACCCCTACTACAAACCAAGTGCCGGTAACACGAGCAGTAGCAGACTGGACGTAGGGACGTTCCATCCAAACCAGTATAAATCCTTGTGTCCTCCAAGCACACCATCCGGGTCAGACGCTGTGGGGGTATAACCCCAGGTATCCATGGCAATGGACATGGGCCGCACCACCAAGGGAGGTCCAACCCATAAGATCATGGCCTACGGTGCTTGTCGGTGTTTCAAGTAAACACCAACTAATAAATTTGTATTTGTTGTCCGTTGGGCCCGGATGGTGTGCTAAAAGACACAAGGTTTATACTAGTTCGGGTAGAATGTCCCTACGTCCAGTTTGCTGCTGATGCTCGTGTTATTAGCACTGAAAGGTTCGTCGTAGGGGTACAAACGGTCGAGAGAGGGACAGGTCCCAAGTCTTAGATGGAAAGGTCGAACGGGTACTGAGACCCTCGATGCTGCTCAGCTATGTGTGAAGTGGTGTGTGATGTGTTGAATCGGTCTGTCCCTTTAGTGGGGTGCCCTGTCTTCCCTTTTATAGATGAGAGAATTCCTTATTTGACACCAGACAAATGACTCGTGACTTTCTTGACCCTCAAAAAAATTTCGTTCCCTATTTGACACTGAGTTCAACTTTCATTCCTTACATGACACTCCGTTGCATTTTCCATCCGGCCACCGTTAACTGCACTGTGAAAAGACGATTTTGCCGCTGTGGGCCCCACCACCCTTCTCCCTCCTCTCCTCCTCCAGGCCGCCGCGTCCTCCCCCAGCCCGTGGCCACCGCCTCCGCGTACGCGCGGCCATGCCTCCTGAGGAGAAGGCCACCGGCCGTCCCCACCGCTGCGGCCGGAGCCCCCTCCCTCCTCCGACGAGCCGCGCCACCCTCCTCCTGCCCGCTCCGACGAAGAGGAGCGGTACCTTGTGGCGCGGCTCATCAGAGGAGAGAGGGAGGCAGCGCCGTGCTCGGAGGACCGGGAGGCCGCACGCCTCCACCCACCGAAGCTGCCGCGTGCTCGACGGCCACTGCCACTGCGCCGGATCTGCTCACGCGGAGGCCCTGGATCCACCCTCAGGGCGTGGCCGCCTGCCTTCACCGGAGCGGATCTGAGCACGGGAAGCCGCAAGGGAAGTGAGAAGGATGGAGGACGAGCGAGAGGGAAGATGGCCGCCGGATCTAAGCGTCGAAGAGGGAGCCGAACCTAGTCGTGCCCGCCAGGCCGCGTCGTAGCGCCGTGCCTGCGAGGCCGCGCAGCCACGCCGGGCCGGCACCGCGTGCCGCCGGGAAAGGGCCATGCTGTGACCGCCCCTCGCGCCGTCGGGAGGGGCCCGTGGTGTGGTCGCCGGGTCTGCTGAGGAAGAGAGAGAGTGAGAGAGATGGAGTCGCTATGGGAGAGGGAGTGAAGAGAGATGGGGGCGGAGCGAGAGTGGGGAGGGGCGGCGGCCTGGAGGAGGAGAGGAGGGAGAAGTGTGGTGGGGCCCACAAGGGCAAAATTGTCTTTTCACAGCGCAGTTAACGGTGGCCAGATGGAAAATACAACGGAGTGTCATATAAGGAATGAAAGTTGAACTCGGTTTCAAATAGGGAATGAAATTTTTTTGAGAGCCAAGAAAGGAACGGGTCATTTGTCTGGTGTCAAATAAGAAATTCTCTCTTTATAGATCAAGGGGAAGCATGGATTACAGATTGGAGAAAGAAGAAAAACCAGAGGCAAAGAAAGTCCTTCGAAGGTGTCGGGTCTTCCTTTTCCTTTGAGCCTGCCCTGCTGACACGGCAGACGGTGCTAGCGATAGCACGTTCGGTGATCCCGATAGGGTCATGCTCTGGCTTCGCCTAGCAAGTGGTCACGTCCCATCCCTCCCCGGTGGGCGGCGCGACGCACCAGGGTGCCGAGTGGCGACCCTACGGGGAGCAGACAGCATAGAGGCCCCACGTTCGTAACTGTAGATGACATGAGTTCCCTCCTGGACCGTAGTGGTTGTTGTATGTTTTCGTCAGGATTTGTGTCCGAGGGCAAATGCCGGCGCCCATAAAACTGTAGGACAAATGTCGGTGCCCACAACACTGTTTGAGCTTTGACATGCCTGGAAGGGCTTAAAGCCCCCGTCTGGTCATATCCTGATGGCACTTTCCTACAGGCGTGCAGGGTATGATCCTCGGTATTGTGGTTGACTTGAGTGCCCCGCCTTATCTGCACGCGAGTCCAGTCCTCGAGGGTCGAGCGAGGCGGAGCCAGCCCTCAGGGGTCGGGCGAGGCGGAGCCAACCTTTGGTCATTGGGCAAGAAGTGTAGTTCCGTTCTTGTATGTTCGGA